AAAAAAAACTATGCCGAACCAATAACGGCTGAAAATTATTTGAATAAACAATAAAAATAGCATCTGAGTTAGGTCTGTCTTTGCATTTCGGTGCCGGCGACCCATATCAAATATTATGGCCTTTCAGTATAAAAGAAAGTGGACGGCTTTGTTTCTATTCACAATAAAATAATGATAATATATATTAATTATTTATAGTGTGTTTGAAAAAAATTGAATTGTTAGAAAGAAACGAGTTGCTCATGAACTCAATCAGCTCAACTCGTTAAGACTTGAGCAATCAGACAAACATATTGTTAGGAAATATTTATTTCTTATGTATAATCTAATTATGGGCAACATATTAAATACAATTATATTATATTAGCTATTCAATTAATGAATGGACTCAATTAAGTGATCTAAATTAAGTAGAGTTCATGGGCTACATAAATTGATATGGACTTAATGAGTGGATACCTAATATTACTAGGGTTAGGTGATAATGGGTGGCCTACCCTATTAGTATATATAGACCCTCTTGGTTATGGTCCCCAATACACTAAATCAAACACAATTTTCTTTTCTCCCCCTCTGAAAGAAGACGACAGTCCCATCTGAGGAATAAGGCGATTTAGTTGAGGAAGGCCATAATACCAGTTGATCCAATTAATCAATCGAGTTCGTGTTCCGCAAAAGAAACTCAATGGATCCAGGTATTTCTAATAATCTTTCAGATCTAGAGCGATGTTGATTTTCCTAGAATTAAAGCACATATTCTAGGATAATTGTTATTGAATTTATATTATGTGATTATAAATTCCTACACATATTACATATCTCGAGTATGTTTACAGCTTATTTGATGAACAGAGCTTGAAGGCTTGAATTTATAGTTCGATTTATTAAAGATCCAATTCGACTCGTCAATATTGATAAATAAACTAAATTTGAGCTCATTTATTGGTTTGTTTGGTTAATGAACTGAGATCAAATTTAATAAAACTATAAATTAATTTATAATTTTGGTAGAATGGCTTTTTAAAAACGGAAAAAACTCAGGGATTTTTATTTTATTTTAGCTTCATTGTTAATTAATTTTGTTATATCAACGAGCTCTACTGCTATCAGTGTTACTGCAGATGACATAGATATGAATAAATATACTACGGTGTTTGAAAGAGGCGTGAAATACTTTTTGAGGTTTAATTAATATATGTCATCGTTTGAAAAATAATAATTATAATTATAATAATAATATATTGTGTTTTTTGTCTACGCCGTTGGTTTCTGTACTGATTATTCAGTGGGGGCCATTCATATTCTCCCGTGAGGAGTGATTATAGTGTTTTGTGTCTATTCTTCTGAGGGGTGCGATTCTAGTGTTTTGTGTCGGGTGTTTGAGTCTGTTTTTATTATAGCTTCGCTAGTTGAAATTCTAGGCGGTCTTCTGACATGTTCTCTCAGTTTTTCGTTGTTAGTTGCTTATTCAGTTATTGACTGTAATTTTATACATTTGTGCGTTTTGGTTATAATAATATCTATCATTCCAGTAAAAAAAAAATAATNAAAAAAAAAAAATAATAATAATAATAATAATAATAATAATAATAATAATAATAATAATAATAATAATAATAATAAAAAGAAGGTGTTTGAAAGTGACGGACATGTGCTAGCAAGTTTGCCTTTTTCTGGACTCATTAATTTATATCCTTTATCATAAATTTCACACTTTTATCATATTATAATTAGTTCTTATCAATGTGACAACAAACAATAGCTACCGATTGCTGGTCACATTTTTTAATTGTTGTGAAAGCGAGAAGTAGGAATTTGGAATATATCAATCACTTGTATTTTTTTTTTTTTGGTACAGGGATCTTTTGGTTTTCGAATCTACAGTGGAACTGATTAATCCGAAATCGAACCGGGTAGGACCACAAGGGCGGCAAAGCTCTCTCTCAAGAGTTTTAACACTGCTGCATTCCCAGAGCTCGAACACGAGACCACTGGTTAAGCTGGAAGAGACTCAAGCCATCTCATCCAAGCGTTCTTGGGTATCACTGGTATTTTAGACAGCTAAAATGGTATAAATAAATATTTCATTCAGTATTAATATTAAACGAGAACCTAGGGTGGCTCCGCCTTTGGATGTAAAAGAATCGAGCGGCTAGCGAGCCGCTCGCAAGCGCTCGAGTCAAAGGTCCTCGAGTTTGACCAAACTCGAGCTCGAGCTCGAGTAGGTCGAGCACGAACTCGAGTCGAGCTCGAACCTATATTTTGCATTGTCGAGCGGATCGAGATATATGTTAAATTACTAAAATACTTCATATATATGTGTATGTATATATATTACAATAGTACAACATAAATGTTTAATGGTAATTATATTTTCCCACTTAAAAATTTTCGAGCCGAACTCGAGTATTTTGATTTCGAGTCGAGCTCGAGCCTCATAGATCGAGCTCGAACAGCTAAAATAAAAAATCAATCATACTCAATAAGGCTAATGTTCGACAGCTATGCTCGTTTGCAGCCCTAGCCATAGGTGTAGGGAAAAGATGCGATGTGGTCATGTGCTTAAGGTCTCTTTCCTCTATCAGCCCTTTATCAGCGATGTGATTATACTGTTTTATTTTTATTTATTTATTTATTTGTCTATCTTAGATACCAAAACAAAACATTGCAGTATCCATTTTTCAGCCCATGGTTAATAATATGAGGACATCATGAAATTTGATTTTACGCAAGTAATGTCAAGGTATACATCACATTCCAATCTTCATTATTCAACAATAGTTGAGAATATATAAACACACATGATTCACCACACTGGTTGGTGAGTACTTAATTTAATTGCAAGAAAAATCAGAATAACTGGTCAAATTCAGAATAAGAAATTAAAGTTTGCAATACAAATTAAGCAAGTTATTTGGCTCTTTACTCGAGATCTTTCGACTCCTTGCGGCGGTCCCCGCCGACCACGACGAGGCTGACGAGGTGGCAGAGGCGGGGGCACTTGG